AATTCAACATAAATAACTAAACCAACAATTAACAAATTTGTTCCAAACATAAACAAAGATTAATCCAAGCTAAACTGAAATATAAGCAAAAATTAAACCAACAATGGAGGGGAAGGTGAAAATGAAAATTGAAAAAATGAATTAAGGTTAAGGTTAAATGTAAGTAGGGGAATGAATTGGGTTAATTTTTATGGATTGGGTTGGGTTGGGTTGGGTTGAGTTGGGTTAGGTAAAATTAGGTTAAGTTTAATTTTGATTGAATTGAGTTTGAAGTTGAATTTGAATTTGGGTTTGTGTTTGGGTTTGAGTTTGAAAGATGAATTAAATTTAAAATAAAATTAATTTATGTTTATTTTAATTTTTGCGGGGATGGGGATCCCATGAGGCCCACGGGACGGGGAAAATTCCCTGTGAAATTTTGGAGGGCAAAAATGCTCCTCATCCCTGCCCCATGGAAAGAAATATTCCTCCCCATCCCGTTCCCTTCACGGAGATCCCTGCAGAGCCCTGCGAGGATTGGGGAAAATTGACATCTCTAATTCCAGAGGCATTAGTTAAACTCGTCATGTTCTGTGTTTCAACGGTTAAACTCTTTGTGCTTTGGAATGGGGTACCCTTACCCTTTTTTGATCCACAAAGAGGCTTAAGGCAGGGAGATCCATTGTCGCCTTACCTTTTCATTATGGTCATGGAAAAGCTGTAACACATGATTCTTAGCCGCCTACAGTCTCGATCTTGGAAGCCTATTAAAATTGCAAGAGGGGTCTTGCTTTGTCACATTTATTTTTTGCAGATGACTTGATGCTTTTTTGCGAAGTATCTCATTCTCAACTCTCAATGGTTATAAATTGTTTAAAGGAGTTTGTTGGATACGCGGGACTGGAGATTAACTTGGCAAAGTCAAAACTCTATATATCACCTAACATTCAAGCTGCAGTAGCCAATTCCTTAAGCAGTGCTTGTGGTATCCCACTCACGTCTAACTTAGGCACATACTTGGGGGTGCCAATTATTCATGGAAGGAACTCGGCAACTACATACAAGTATATACTTGAAAGAATGCAGTTGAAACTTGCTAATTGGAAGAGAAGTTCGCTAAGTTTGGCAGGTAGGAGGACACTAATTCAGTCGGTGACTTCTTCAATTCCGGCCTATACGATGCAAACGGTCATTTTACCTCAGAGCATTTGTAGTTCAATTGACAAAATTAATAGGAATTTTCTCTGGGGCTCAGATACAGGGACTTTGAAACCTCATCTTGTTAGCTGGGAAGCTGTTTGCAGAAGTCGAGAACAGGGAGGACTTGGGCTAAGAGCAGCAAGGGAAAATAACAGAGCATTGAT